AACGTCCAGTGACCTGAAAGTTCACCAAGCTGCCCTGGTGTGCAGGGGCCCAGAAAACTTCTTATTCCCTGTTAGAAGACCAAGAGATCTGAGAGTTGTCTCATTTAATCTCCAATTTCAGTTTTAACGACCACCTTCAAAATCCTAAAGTTTTAGACAACAAAAATTTTGATGGATGGAACAATTAAGTATGTGAAATGAAAAGTCTGAAGCAACAATATCTGTCCAATGTAAAATATATCACCTTTTTCCCCTTTCCTTCTATGTGCATCAAGAAATCCCCTGCTTAAACTCACTTTTAAAATGCATTTTAGCAATTTTTTTCAGGGAAAGGAAGAAAACATTACATGTTTTCTCAGGGACCCTGGAGTTATCTCTGCTCTTCTTGTAGCCAAATGCTGGTTCACTGCTGAAGGACTCCAGGACCGAGATGCAGCTCCAGCATGAGATGGTTAAACATGGGTGCCTCTGCGGAGGCATCTCCTTGTACTGGTGGTGGGTGTCTCTCTGCAAGGGTCCCCATCTGCACAGGGCATTCCAGACCCCAGCGGCTGGTGGCTACCCAGGGCTCAGCTTGGTTGCCTCCCCTTGCTGCTGAGTCCCATTCAAGATGTCCTCAGCATCCGCCTGACTGGGCAGCTGTGACACAGGTCCTGCACACTGACCCCCTTGCCCAGTACCATGGCATGGCCACTGCTGGCCGCGGGCTTTGTACTGAGTTTGCAAGGTCTCAGGACTGAGGCGTGCCAGATTTGCTCTCTTTGAACTTGTCCTGACCTGCCTGGAGCTTTCTTTTTACCAGATTTAGCAGTAATGGCAATTTTTATTCTGACTACAGCTATGGCTTTTTTACTTACCATTGTATGGTGCAACCATAGTTTCAGTTTTATGCAGACAGTAGCAAAAAGTAGCTACTCTGTGCCGAATGAGAGATTTATGACTTTAATGTAATGGCGTAGTGCTGAGAAATACGCATCTGGCAGGATGGCAGGGGCCTTGAGAAGTGGGGACACAGGATGAGGCGTAGAGGACTGCAGGCACGAGGTGATAAGACATGGGGCACAGGCTGGTACTGGAGACCTCATGGCTATAAGCAACTCAGGAATGGTCAGTTAAAGAAATGCAAGCTCGGAGCTGGACAAAAATGGTTTTGGGTGACAAAGAGAGCAAAGAACGAGTATCTAACATGCATAAAATGCAACGTATTTAGGAAATCTGTACGTATCGTGGACTTGCAGACCAATGAAGAGAAAGCAAGGTGTAAAAGCATGTTATCAAACATAACAAAGACACAAAATGGACCCTAGAGTGAGGAAGAAGAAGCCATGAACATCAATATCATACTCCCTGTGAAGGATTCCAGATTTTGATGACTTGATGTAACATCCACCACCACCACCAAACTGAAGTCACCAACCTTAGGACCCAGAGGAGCAGTGAAAGGGTGAGCATGACCCCAGGGACGAGGTAGAAATGGGGAAGTGTGTGTATGACAATCTTAATTGATTATTATTATTATCATCATCATCATCATTATTATCATTATTATTATTATTACTACTACTACTACTTCTTTTTCCATAGAGAAATATTAATTTCTTTCTCTTTTTCTGTAATAACTGGATCTGGACTAACAATGATTCTTGTATTAGCCTGTTTTCAATTACACTAACAACTCATTCTTGCCTTTATACATAAAGTGCATTTGCTTTTTGCCTGTAAATGAGACTCGGATCGTAACAACACACACAGCCGTCTGTAGCAGTGGCAGTGGGAAGCCACATGGGACACCGTCAGGCATCTCCGGTGAGATCTGTGATCTCCGGTGGCACTAAGCAACGATGCGTAGGCAAGTGCACTGAGCTCCCGGCTAATGCAGACCCTGGGGTGCCCAGAGGCACGCAGCACACCCTAAAGCAGTTACCCAGCAGTTGCTCACCCAAATCTGACCCCAGGGAAGAAGCATCCAAAGCAATTCGATCCCAGACCCTGGAGATAGGTTGCACGAGGCAAATCAGCTGGATAGAGCAAATGCAGATGCACCCAGCCACCCACCCATCTGATTAAGTATGAGGATATGGGCAGGACTACAGTGAGAGGGAGAGAGTTTCCCAGTTTTCTGCACTGTCACCTGTACAAATACCCCCTGCAAGGACATCTCCATGTTCACATGGGACACCTTAAAACGCTTTCTAGAGGGACTGGGCGATCCACACAGCCATGAACATAGTATCTGTGTGGGAAAAGGTCGCAGAAAATGGAATAGGCTGAATCCATAGGCACACGGAGAAGCACGCCACGTGGGAAAAGGGTCAGTATGGCTCTTCTGACGTGCAAACAAGACTCCCTAACATATTGCAAGTCCTCCAAGGGCTGGAAAGGATTCTGGCTGGGGCAGATCCAGGTGATAGAGTCTACCTGGATTCCCAAGGGCTCTGAGCGAGGTCCCCACCAAAGGTCATCAGATAAGCAGCCATGAAATGAGAGTAAAGTTCCAGACATCACTGAACAATTGAATCATACAATAAAGGTGCATGGCTATCCTTTACAGTGAACCCCTACAGGAATCTGTACTGGGATTTCTGCTTTTCAATGAACTTTTTCTGGGAAACGCAGGGGAAAACAGCACGGCAACCAAGTTTCTGATGATTCTAAATTCCTCCAGGAACAGGAGGACCATCTGCGAAAATCTGCAGAAGACCCTGATAAGACTGAGTCACTGAACAATTAAACAACAGATAAAAAAAAAAAGCAGTTGAGATAAAACATACAGTGATGCACTTGGGGAAAAAATGGAACACTTCAGATACAAAATGACAGGCTGGTGGCTAGCAATTATCTCTCAGGAACAAGCTGTCACAGTTATGATAGTGTTACAACAACACAGTTCAGCGATCGGCAGTTCCAAAAACAAACTAGATATTAGAAATTCCTAGGCAAGGACCAGAAAACAAGGCCAGGACAGCGCTGTGCATCCGAAATACCGCCGCAGTCCTGATGCCTCAGGGAGCAAAATACTTGTCATGGGAAATGAGTGAGCAAGACCGTGGCTTCGCTGGAAAGAGGCAACGGAGGGGAGATATGACAGAGGTGGCAAAGGCCCAAAGATGAGTGGGGGAAGATCTGCTCACTGTCACTTCCAATACGAGCGCTAGAAGCCCGAGAAATTAAAACAGCACGCAGCTGGTTCAGAATGAACATACAGAGGTCATTATTCATGCAGCATGTCATTAGGCTGTGGAAATCACTAAAGCAGGGTCTCCTAGAGCCTGAAGTGTCCATGCATTAAATTTAGGAAGATGAGCTCCTTAGGCAAGTGAGTTCATCACCAAAACATCAGTGATGTGATTGAAGAAAAGAGCAAAACAGCCCCCAAACCTGTGCTGTTCCAGGAGGAAGACTCTGCCCCTTTGCTGAGGGTGAGGGCTTTCCACGGGGCCTTGTGAGCAAACCCTAGCTTTTAGCTTTTGCAACAAGGTGCACTGTTTCCCCTCATCAGCCAGCATTCATTTTTTGTGTTGGGAGTTATTCTTCTTCCTTCTGAGACAATAGCACTTATTCCTGCCTGTCATTTTTTTGTGATGAGCATTAGCCCTGTTGTATTTATTCTTGGCGTACGGCAGAATCCTGGATCTGTCCCTCCTTGGCTTTTTTGTCTCATGCAATGGTGCAAATTTGATTTAGAATCATTTACGTCTTCTCCAACCTAAACGATTCTAAATTGAAACTGGAGTGAGTAGAGGAAAAAGGCCTTGTTACGAATGGTCAAGGCTGATAAGAGACCTGCTTTGACAAAAACACCAGATTGTTTCCCAGGCAAGAGGGTGCTGCTTGTAAAGGAGGCTGGACAAGCTGGTTATCACCAAAACAACTGCTTCTAAGGTAACAAATGCTGGCAGAAGTTAAACCTCATTAAACGTATTAGGAGGGCACTTTCAAGTGCCAGCACCTGTGTTAGAAGGGTTTCCTATTAAAGCTGACCCCAGGAAGCTGCTGTGCTGAGTGTTTTTAAGGTGTTATAAAGGATTTAGAGGCTATCTGGGCTGGTAAGGTTGATTTTGTGTTGGAGTTTTGGGGTTTTTTAGTGGTTTTTTGTTGGTTACATATACATAGTTATGATGCAAGTTAGTGACTTCCTAGTCCTCAGATTTATGTGTCTGCTTCCTTAGTTCTGTAATTGCTGTCTTCTGTGTTGTTTTATGCTATTTTAATGCTGTAAATAGTTTGTCTTGCGCCTGTGTTTTGCAAAGTGCTTCTTAAAAGGTGATTGGGTTTTTGGGGGGTTGGGGAGGGGTGTTTTCTTGGGTTTTGTTTGTTTTTAGTAAACTACTATAAAAGTCCTATCAGCCTCTAGGTGGGCAGAGAAGGCTAAGGTGTGATTATTTGAAGTGTCTTTTATTGCTCAAGTCAGGTCTCCTTTGGAGACCTCAGGTGTGGGTCTCCAAAGGCACAGATGCAGATAAACCGAAGAAAATGCCTTCCTCTCCTAATATGCTCTTAAAAACAAGGTGGGCCTCCTGCAGTTCATGGTCCACACAAGGTGTCAGTGTGCTAGTGCGCTTAACTACCTCCTCTGGACCACTAGCTAGAGAGATCCCTTAACTAGTAATGTCTAGTTGCAGAAGGTTTGGGAGCTGAAAGTTCTGCACTGAAGCAGTGGGGTGGCTTAATATAAAAGCCCCCCCTCCCCAGTTTGAATGGGTCTCACACAGCATTCTCTTCTTGATCAGGGATGTTTGAGGTTAACTGTTGAACAGGCCAAGCACTAAGAGGGCTGTTTGTTTCTGCGCTGTTGAGGACAACAGGTAGCTGACCTCCCAGCCTTGCCTGGAGGGGGGGCTGCGCTTGCGTCCTTGCTGCTGTTGTGTGTGCCTGGAGTGCCTGGCCCTCACAGCGCCTTGGTTACTGCTGCTCGTGGCAAAACCTCTCCCGTGCTGTCCTCTTTCTGTGCAGCTCTGTAACTTCCTCGCTCCCCTGATCCAACTGGGCTGGCTGTGGGGATGGGAGTGGGGCAGGTGCTGCTTGTGCTGTTGGCTGCCTCCGCGGTGATGCCTGTGAAGGACCCATTGCTGAACATCTGTATGGATGCCAAACACCACAAAACCAAGCCTGGCCCAGAGGGGATGCTGCATGACCAGGTATGACTGCTGATGTGTTAGGTGGGATTGTCTGGGTCCCCTGTGCCTACCTCCCTAGGTGACAGGGGCTGGTTTGTACTTTGGGCTTAGCAACCACTTGCCTGAGGAAGAAAGCCTGTGCTGGGTATGAGGCCTGTTAGTTTGCTGTCTTCTTCTAGCAAATGGCTAGGGCAGATGCAGTGGTATGGAGCTTTCTGTCAGCTCTCTGTCACCCTTCTTTAACCAGGAGGCTTCCTCTTCCCAAAGCTTAGGTACCCCAGATCAGAACAAGGTAAAGGATGGCAAGGAAAGACACTTTCATCTGCTCCCTCTCAGTGTTAGAGATTCTTCTTGCTAATTGAAGAGCTCTGCCCCCAGGTCCTTGGTGGGGATGGGGCTAAGAGCAAGCCAGGGTGCAAGAGAAGGGAGTTTGTTTCTATTCCTCAGGCTGGCACTAATTCCTGGTGAGGATCTGACCTTAGGAGTCCTCCTCCTGCTCTTCCTCCAACTTTACCTTGCTGCAGCCCTGAACTCTTCAGTCTACGGTGGCCAAGGGTTTGCTGGAGGAGAGAAAATCATCTTGCTGCTGAAGGCTTCTTGCTGTAGGCTATGCAGGGAGCTGGCACCTGCAGCATCCTCTGACTCCCTTGAGCTGCTGCCTGCCCTCCCTGACCAGCCTGTGTCTTGCTCTGTTGTAGTGTGCTCCCTGGAAGGACAATGCCTGCTGCACAGCCAACACCAGTTCAGAAGCCCACAAGGACCAATCCAACCTGTACAACTTCAACTGGAACCATTGTGGGCTGATGCCACCCAAGTGCAAGCGCCACTTCATCCAGGACACGTGCTTGTATGAGTGCTCACCCAACTTGGGGCCCTGGATTGATCAGGTAGGATCAGATCTGCTGTGATTAAGACAACAGGGCTTGTGCTGGCCACACGATATGTTATACGCTGGTCCCCCATGTAGTATACTCCTGGCATGTATAGGAGTGAGCTTTCTAGGGACGCTGCAAACTTTCCTACTGGGTGGAAAGATTCAAAGGACTTTGCCAGCCTCTGCTTAGGTAATCAGACAGGCTGATGGAAGAATTGCTTGCTGTCAAGGCATGCCTCTGCTGGGGCTGCAACTCTTCTGAGATCAGCTCTGAAGCCCAATGGAGGGGGCCGAGGGGGAATCTGGGATGTGGCAGATCCTGCCCCTTAACTTTCAGGGGCCAGCATCGGTGTGCATGGTCCTGTTTTCTTGCAGGCTGACAGCAGCTGGCGTCGGGAGAGGATTCTTCATGTGCCACTCTGCAAAGAGGACTGCGAGGAGTGGTGGGAGGATTGCAAGGACTATGTCACGTGCAAAGAGAACTGGCACAAGGGCTGGAACTGGGCAACAGGTTGGTGGGCTGTGTGGAGCAAGCTTCTCACCCCTGCAGGCAAGCCCCGGGCAGTGTCGCTGCTGCCTGCCTGGTGGCTGGAGCCAAGACCCCTGATTGCTCTTGCCTGTCTGTGGGGTTGCTGACTAGAAGGTGGCCAAGCCACCTTCCATCAGCTAAGATGCAGTGATGGGCTGTGGGCAGGTGGCCTGCTCCTCCCAGCTGAAAGGACACAAGTGAAGTGTGCTAGCTCACGTTGCTTTCTGGTGCTGTCTGTCTTCAGGAACAAACCGCTGTCCTTGGGGCTCCATGTGCAGACCCTTCAGCCAAGTCTTCCCCCGACCAAAAGACCTGTGTGAGAAAATCTGGTCCAACTCCTACAAGTACACCACAGAGCACCGGGGCAGCGGGCGCTGCATCCAGATGTGGTTTGACCCTGCCCAGGGAAATCCCAATGTGGCTGTGGCAAAGTACTATGCTTGGAAAAAGAGATCCTCCCCTGCTTGGATGGAGAATGTGACTCCTGAGACTGACAAAGCTGTGTGTGCTCTGCCATGGCCTGTCCTGGTCCTGCTGCTTCTGGCCCTCCTGGTGGTCCCTGAGGGAGCTGGGGGCTGTGGATCCCATGGGTGGGGGTCCCTGTGACTGCTCCCTGCAGGGACATGGCTTGGACTGCTCCAGCTGCCCTACAAGAGGAGCTGGCATAGGTAACTTAAGTCTGTCTGTCCCAACTGGTCACACACCCCAGTAGGCGCTCTGCATGAGTTATGTTGTTGTACCTTGACACCTGCCTCTACTTTCAGTTGCTGGCAGAGGCAGTTACTTCCTTGCCATCCTAGGAAGGGCAATACTGTGTGTCTTTGCTCTGATGTAGGAGCTCCTTCACATCTGTTCCCACCTCATGGCTGTGTGCTGAGTTGGCAGTGCTTGTTCAAGGCCCTCAGCTGGGCTCTGGTCTTTCAGACTGCTCTGAATCCCTGAAGGGTGGGGATGATAATAAAATACTCTTCTGAATCAGCCTTGCTGTACTGAAGTTAAGTATGATTGAGGAGGTAGAAGTGCTCTGGGGGTGGAACAAGGCTGCTGGTCTGGACTGGGTGGTGGTGGGTGTGGGGATCTGTACATGTAGGAGTCTGCCTGGGGGTAGCGAAGATGTAGCCTCCTGGGTAGATGTAGATCTCCTGGGTCCTGATGACTCAGCCGCTGTGCTCTGCCCCATCCTGCTGGAGGAGCGCGGAGTTGCCTGTGTGTCCACACTGGGACTCCTGCTGCAGAACACAGCTAGCCATGAGAGGCATCTGTAATATCTCCTCCCTAGCCACAGTCACTCTTCCGTGCTTCTTCCTCTTCCCTCTGAGCCAGGCCTCTCAAAGCTGGGTGCAGGAGCAGCCTGACCTCCTGTGCATGGATTGCTGGAGCTAATAGCAAATTGCTGCTGCAGCCCGGTGCAAGTGGCAACTGCTTTTCCAGCCCAGCAAGTGCCTCTGAGGAGCATCTTAGCAGAACTGCCCTTGTCCTGCAGCTGTCCAGAGACTGTATGTGGACAGTTCCCTCTCCTTTGCTACAGCTGTGCAGTGCAGGTTGACTGGTACAGCTTTCCTCCTCCTGCCGATGACCTGGTTTTGGCTGTATAGCTGTGTTGCTTCAAAACTTTCTCTTCCCCTGGGGGCAATGGTTCACAGCCTCCCACATGGGACTTGCAGATGTCACAAGTAGCTGTGTAAAGGCTCACTGCTGTACTTATTTTTTTTTTTTCTTCCTCAGAAGCGAAAACAAGCCTCTGGTGAAACTTTGCCATTCCTTTCAAAAGTTGCTAAAGGGGAGAGCAATGGGGAAATGCACAGGGCTGCTGAGGTTAGGCAAAGGCCACAGCTGTCCAGTCTGCAGAGCTTTTATAGTATTTCAAATACTTTAAGGAGCCTTTAGATCAAAGCAGCTATTCCCAGAAGTTTTTCTGGTTTATTGGATTTTTAAAATGCTCCTAATAATACAGCCTCTGTTGTAGCTGGTTACTTATTCCTTGAGATGAAACACAGAAGTACTTTTTTCTTTCCCTCAAACTTCAACATGTCTGCAAAAGCTGAAGCTGTCCTAGGACTGACCCCGGCTTAAAGTCAAAAATGTCTTCTCGCCCACGTGTGGGGTATGGGTTTGCCCTGCCTGACCTGGCTAGGGATGGGGAAGAGGAAGCACCTGGAGCCGATTCCTGTGACATCGATCTCCATAAAGGACAAAAATAAAACAACTGTAAAGGTGAGGCTGCTTGAGTTTAAGGAAAAGCCTGTTCAGGCAGCTCCCACTGTCCACAGGCTCGTTGTCTATGCAGGTTCTGGTCAGCTCTGCCACTGTGCCTCACATAATGCTCAGGTCCTTGTCTCTCAGAAGCATATGGGGATCCCCTTCAGGGCTGGTGTGAAGTCCTCCTGCACCGCACCAATGTGAAAACCCTGCCTGCAGGCCCGTCCCTGGAGGGAGAGCTGACCTTGCTGTTTCCAGCCACTCAGTTTTAAGCTTTGAAGGTTGCTTTGGGGGATTAGTTGCAAGTGATACTGCAGCCAGCATCTCTTCTTTATGAAAAACTTCCAGTTGCAGACACTTGTTCCATGGACACTTCACCAGTCCTGTTGGTACTGTTCCCATGCTTGGCAATGGTAGGATAATTTTGCCTATTGCAAGCTACTCTGAGATCTGGGCAAGCTGGTCTGCAGAACAATTAGTTCCTCTTT